AATGCTAAGTACCAAACAACAAGTGGGAGGTGGATCGTTGGTACCATTAAATCGATTTAACACCGCAATTCCAGTCGCAAGCCTGGGACCACTACTAGCATAGTCACAACATCTACAAAGCTGCCATATAGCCTGACTGACAATTTTCTCGACTGACTGACAATGTTTCTTCTTTTTCCCCATTTAGAATACAAAGATTAGTACATTTTAGCTTATGATTAATATTATATTTTTACCTATAGTTTACCTAGATATAAGATTTTCTTCCTGATCACAATCACGTGACAGAAGCTCTAAACGATTATTTAAGAGTGCCCTCTGCAGGAATACGATCATTAACGTATATATTTCACAAAAAATAATTCTAGACTGATCGGACCTCATCTTATCATGCAAAATTGCAAATGGAGTCAAAAGATGCTGGCTCAACTTTAAACATACTTCTCCCTAAACTTCGTTCACTCTTCTTTTCATGCACAATCAACACGCGGTCATGTTAAAATATCCAACCGAACAAAAAAGAACATTTTCTTAGAATCTGTATCTACTGTCATGTAGCAGCAGCCCGACCTGTGAATATGTCTCCTTAAACTCTTAAAGATGACAATTCAGAAATCACTTGATATCGTGGCTGCTTATGATCAAAATCAGCGATTTTAAATTTAACTTGAAGCACAAAAAAAAAATATGAATAGTTATTAATCGTGAATAATCCACGTGATGCAGATAAGCAGATTGAGCGTTTGCACAAATTTAAAATTAACCGGTTCTGGGGATATAATAATAGAAATGGTAAAACTATTTAAAGTATTATAAAACTATTTAAAAAATAAGCGGTTTTTGTAGGAATAAAAGGGAACGTGTTCATGCAGGCAGCTGTGCTACTTGTTATACGGATTATAGCGATGTTTCTTTGAGCAATTCGGGCAAGCCAATTATTTTTTCTGTTTCGGGCATTTGACTTTAACATAAACAATTTCTACATTTCTTACAGGCCTGAAAATTGAACAATTTGAACGATTGCTACATCAGTTACAGATGGTATGATATGGTACCGCGACAATTGACCCCCGACAATTGACCCCCCCCCCCCCCGACAAATGACCCCCCGAAAATTGACCCCCCGGGTTTTACTGTATTTCTACTGTATTGGAGGACGTACTTAATAGATGTTATTGTTGTCCAGAAGCGATCCCTGTAACCTAAAGTAAATAACCTAATTATCCCAGACTTTGCAGAAGAATGACTTCAACAATCACCGACGGACTAAACGGAAGGAGTAACCCCTTCATGAAGCTTCCTCAGGGGGATAAGATACAAGCTTACTACATCTGGGTTGATGGCTCCGGAGAGAATGTCAGGTAACCGAAAATAGCTCTTAGAGTTTACACGAGATCCTGTTTGGTGGAGATTTTGGCAAATCATTGAGCGATCGTAACTTTGTTTTAAATTGAAAACTATTGTTTTTAATTTGTCAAATTGATGGCTGATAAATAGTTTATATTTTACATAACTTAATCTTAATGCACTTGTACCAGGGGAAAGACAAGGACGCTGGACAGTGTCCCAGACTCTCCTGATGACCTACCGTGGTGGAACTTTGACGGTAGTAGTACAAAACAGAGTACTGGCGAAAACAGTGACGTTCTTCTTAAACCAGTCGCTATCTTCAAGTCAGTTGATTATGATTCTTATCGAAGATGAATGTTATACTTTGAATTTCAATAATTTATTTGGAGTTAAGTAAGTATAAACTTCAATAGAACTATCTAACTTCCACTTGTCGGCTAGAAAAACACCTTATACTTAAACTTTTCTACACGGGAAGCAGAAAAGATGAAGGAGCAGAAAATAAGATATATTAATAATTAATTCATTATTAATTTGTAAATTAATATTTGCCTCAGGGATCCGTTCCGAGGAGGTGACAATATAATCGTTATGTGTGAGACATACGGACCCGACGAGACCCCTCACCCGACTAACCCACGACACGAGTGTATTGAAAATATGGAGAAGGCTGCAGAGCTTGAACCTTGGTTTGGTATTGAACAGGTAATGACAATCACAAGCCTCTGCTTACTAAAGTAAAACTATTTTCCTTGTATATTATTCAATGATTTCTGCCAACATCTAACAGTTGGGCTATGATAAGATATTTTACTGCTCTTGATCCGTTTCCTAAGGAGTTCAGGGCAATTTGCACTACCAAAAGTCTGATTTCTTGCCTTATGTACGTTTACCGATGATCAATATACAATATTCATCTATCAAAATGTATTTTTAAATCGGTCTCTACATAAATTTAAAATCATAATCCTCTCACTCTCATCACGCTTCCTTCAGGAATACACCCTGTTTGACTCTCACAACAAAGAAGTATATTGCTGGCCACGTCACGGGTTCCCAGGCCCTCAAGGCCCTTACTATTGCGGTATCGGAGCTGACAGAATCAAGGGGAGGAAAGTGGTGGAGGCTCATTACAGAGCTTGTCTCTACGCTGGTATCATGATTGGAGGTTCCAATGCGGAAGTTATGCCCTCTCAGGTAAGAATCGTTCTTATTTTATTTTGATTACAGCTTATAATCCATGATGAATTATATTGAAAACGTAATCTTGTTAATTCTATACCATTTACAATACCTCTATTTAAATCAGTGTATTGATATAAACATACAGATATCTTCAGTTCCGAAAATATTAAATTTTAAATACCACTTATATTGTGTTGGGTTAAATTTCAAAGGACAATTATCAACGAAAAAATTGAAAATTCAGTCATGCGAAATGAAAATTTAAATGTCTCCCAATTTTACAATTCCAGATGTGTCTTTCAGAATGAGTAATTTTTCCAATAATGCATAAAAGTTCACTGCATAAATTTTGTTCTTTCCAACAATCCACAACAAAAACCGTTGATCATGATACAACGATACTGACCACCGATCATTGAGTTTACCCACTTAAGGTCACGAATAACCACGCTCGCTGACCAACATGATAAGCACACCTTCTCATTTAAACACACCTTCTCGTTTAACCACGTACACGTACATGCCAGATATCGTCTGTCAACTCATTTCATGATTTTCCGAGAAATCATCACTGGTTCTAAGTAATCTCAAATTGATTAATTGTTGGAGTTGGCCATCGCGAGCTCCGTCGAGACGCTTCTCCGATGTTTTTAAAAGCAATCACGATATACAATATGCAGCCGAACTATAATGGCTAATATAAGGTCTTGTGATCAAATATATGTCATATCATTAGCAGATTCTAACGGTTCCTGGATTCTTCTCGAACTTCCATGATTCTTCTAGATCTTCTTAAATTCGATCTAGTCTGACTTGAGGACTCCCTCGAAGAATCCGGTGAGTTTTATGGTAAATTGTTCCTGGATGAAATGCTTATAAGCTTTGATTTTACCACTTTTTGTTGCTTTCTTTATAGGTCTCTTATTTTAGGTATAAAGAATATTTTGTATCTTAACAGTTTAATATTCTTAGGTACTATAATTGCAGGTATTTAAAAATTAAAATCGCGTTCAAGTTTCAAATTACCATTTCCAGCCTCTTTTTGGTCCTGTTAATTCGTACAGACCCGAACTACCGGTCCCTTTTATGAAGAAAAAAATGCCACAAAGCATTTGCAACCCGCTTATTATTTATGTCAACAATCAAATGCCCTTTTAAATATTCAGCACTGATTTCATCATAAATTAACAAATGTTAATTTTTAATCCTAAGAACAAGCATGGACAAATATGAAGACCATGATTCCTCCCGTGGTAATTCTCCTCTTGAGCAGAGTAAAATCTGCTTGTTACTGTCATTCGTTATATAAGATATATTAACCGCAGTTATTTAACTACTGGTTATTGAGCTGCAGATCAGCAAGTAATTGTATTATCCTGTATAAATTTATGCATGACTCCAGAGCCGATATAGTTAAAATCGTAGACAACTGAATGTTCCACATTTAATAACTTAATATTTTAATTATTTGATAATTCTGGAAAAAGAAGTCTATTCTTTTCTATCGTTACTGTGGTATCCACTACGGCTATTTAAAAGCAGATATTTTCCGCCTCAGTTCTCAAATATCTTAAACTTGACTGCGTCTGTTCTCATTATCGAATCGAATCGATAAATTATTTTTCCCATAGCCACAATTAATGTAACCGCTTACAAACCACAAGCATCCACCTCGGTGATCTGGAATGTTAGATAAATAACACTCTCCACTATCTCTTATTCTTGATGTCAAGCACTGTGCGGAGTAGATGACTAGATGAGTCTTCAAACAACGTGCTTAGCGAGTTGTAATTTAGTGCGTCCGGTAATCAAAGCTCGCTCCAAACTTAAGCACACTAAAATGTCCTAAATCTTTGCCTTCAAGTGACAAGTAGCAATGTTTTCTTTGAATGCTTGCCGGTTAACAAAATAATTGGTCAGTGGAGGGATAATTGCTTGTCATATCATTCACCGAAGTTCCCTTCGCTGACCAATTATTTTGTTAACCGGCAAGCATTCAAAGAAAACATAGCTACTCGAAGGCAAAGATTTAGGACATTTTACTGTGCTTGAGTTTCGAGCGAGCTTTGATTACCGCTCGTCGTATCAGTCAAAAACGTCAAATGATTACATTGTGAACACTTTGCATTACAATTAATAAATAATGTGCTTGCGTTACTAATATAATTATAGAGATCAGCACCTTTCTTTTTTAGATGTCAACTCTCATACAGTAGAGTCACTATTGCCATTTAAAAACATACATCTGCGATTCAGTTCTGCACCACCAAGTCCAAGATATCCAGCATGCCGCAAAGTGCGCTCGTTTAAAGTTCAGTTGCTATTACTCTTCCTATCTAAACTTTCTACTATGAGATATTTAGGGGCAGTCAAACTATATCGGGCTTGAATGAATAAGGACTTGCTAACCCATGGCAACATTAAAATATATCGACTCTGTTACATCGCGTCCTATTAATTTAAAGCTCCGTAATTAAAGGAACAGCTATGAGTGGTGCAGTTGTCATGGACGGATTAAACGGGAGATCCAACCCCTTTATGAAGTTAGATCAAGGAGATAAGATACAAGCCTACTACATGTGGGTTGACGGCTCCGGAGAAAACTTGAGGTAACTGCAACAGTTATTGAACCAATTTTTAAGGATGATCACAGTTATTGAACCAATTTTTAAGGATGATCACAGTTATTGAACCAATTTTTAAGGATGATCACAGTTATTGAACCAATTTTTAAGGATGATCACAGCTTTATTGAACCAATTTTTAAGGATGATCACAGCTTTATTGAACCAATTTTTAAGGATGATCACAGCTTTATTGAACCAATTTTTAAGGATGATCACAGCTTTATTGAACCAATTTTTAAGATGATCACAGTTATTGAACTCATTTTAAAAGCTGATCACAGTTATTGAAATAATTTTTAAGGCTGATCGCATCGCTTAGATTTGGAAAATTTGTTTAGTCCACACAGTATTTGACATATCTTGATTACTCTATTAGAGGAAAGACAAGGACGCTGGACAGTGTGCCAGATTCTCCCGATGATCTGCCATGGTGGAACTTTGACGGTAGTAGTACAAACCAGAGTCTTGGTAAAAACAGTGACGTTCTCCTTAAACCAGTCGCTATCTTCAAGTCAGTAGAATATGATTTTATTGAAGATGAATGTTATACTTCGAATTATTTGTTAAGTATAAATTTCAATAGAACTATCTAACTTCCACTTTTCTTGTCGTCTACAAAAACACCTTATACTTTACCTTATCTTCAAGTACGAAATAAACATTTTTGCTCACCAATGTAAAAAAATGCTTATACTTTTCAGCCTGCAAAGGATTTCATTTTGCTTATATAATTATATTCCATACCTCTCGTTTTGACAAATATTACCTAATTTACTATTTTACTAGAGATCAACATGTGAATAGTCAATCTAAAAAGTTGAATTATTACTTGCTCCAGAGATCCGTTCCGAGGAGGAGACAACATCCTTGTTTTATGTGAAACTTACGGGCCTGATGATGAGCCTCATCCCACTAACCCAAGACACGAGTGTATTGAAAATATGGAGAAAGCTGCTGAGCTTGAACCATGGTTCGGTATTGAGCAGGTTTGGACAGCTGATGATTTTAAAACTAGTTTTTGAAACTGATTTGTTTTTAAACTTCTTCTTTAGTAAATGTGACACAATATTCAATCAATTCAATGCTTGGAACTTCTTTTTCGAGTGTTTATGATAAACGTACAACCTGTTTTTTTCCAGGAATACACCCTGTTTGACGCCCACAACAAAGAAGTATACTGCTGGCCCCGATACGGGTTCCCTGGCCCTCAGGGACCTTACTATTGCGGTATCGGAGCTGACAGAATCAAGGGGAGGAAAGTGGTGGAGGCTCATTACAGAGCTTGCCTCTACGCTGGTGTCATGATCGGAGGTTCCAATGCGGAAGTTATGCCCTCTCAGGTTCAACTCATATAAACCACGTGATCAAAAGCACGTGATCAAAAGCACGTGATCAAAAGCACGTGATCAAAAGCACGTGATCAAAACCACGTGATCATAACCACGTGATCAAAACCACCTGATCAAAACCACGTGATCAAAACCACGTGATCAAAACCACCTGATCAAAACCACCTGATCAAAACCACCTGATCAAAACCACCTGGTCAAAACCACCTGATCAAAACCACCTGATCAAAACCACCTGATCAAAACCACCTGATCAAAACCACCTGATCAAAACCACCTGATCAAAACCACCTGATCAAAACCACCTGATCAAAACCACCTGATCGAAACCACCTGATCAAAACCACGTGGTCTAACCACGTGCTTATTCATGACCACTACGTCATAACATAAGAACTTTAGTAACTCACTAAGTAACTCACGGGCCCACTTTAAGAGCTACTTTCAAAATTAAAACTCGGAACTTACCAAATTTGGTATCTTCATCACCATACTTTTTTGACTATAAAGTATAAATGTCATTATCAAAAATGTAATACTGAAGTATGTACATAAACTTTCGTAAATCATCACGGCCGTTTCGAAATTATTTATTCTGAAAGACATGAACGTTGAAAATTCGGAACTGAAGATATTTTATAAATCGAATCTAAAAAATCCTAATAAATCCTAACACTCATAACACTCTAACACACCACTCTAACACACCTTCCCACCACTCTAACACACCTTCCCAACACTCTAACACACCTTCCCACCACTCTAACACACCTTCCCACCACTCTAACACACCTTCCCAACACTCTAACACACCTTCCCACCACTCTAACACACCTTCCCACCACTCTAACACACCTTCCCAACACTTTAACACACCTTCCCACCACTCTAACACACCTTCCCAACACTCTAACACACCTTCCCAACACTCTAACACACCTTCCCAACACTCTAACACACCTTCCCAACACTCTAACACACCTTCCCACCACTCTAACACACCTTCCCAACACTCTAACACACCTTCCCAACACTCTAACACACCTTCCCAACACTCTAACACACCTTCCCACCACTCTAACACACCTTCCCACCACAGTGGGAATACCAAGTGGGACCCTGCTCTGGAGTAGACATGGGTGACCACCTTTGGGTATCACGGTACATTCTTCATCGTGTAGCAGAGGAGTTTAATGTTTGTGTCAGCTTAGATCCTAAGCCAATTGATGGAGATTGGAATGGCGCTGGTTGCCATACCAATGTCAGGTAGGGACTGTTAATTTTTTGAAACTAATTAATCAATCAAATAATCACCTACTCATGTGCCTGTTACACAAGTACGGCAGTCGTATTAAACAGGAATTAAATAGGAATTAAACTAAACTAAACAGGAATTAAACATGAAATGACCAAGGAGAACATGAAATGACCAAGGAGAACACTAACGAACTCGTATAAGTAATACAACAATTCAGTCGTATGCTACTGAAGGGGGGACTGGAGAGGGCTCTCTCGTCATTAGAAAGTTAGAAGATTAGAGTAACCTTTGTATGTTGTACAATTCTGTTAATTTTGTTTACAATTCTGTTAAATCTCTTGTCTCAGCACCAAACCAATGCGAGAAGAAGGAGGAATGGAACACATCATGGTAGCTATAGAGAAGATGGAGGCTAAACATAAGGAGCATATTGAAGCTTATGATCCGTCAGGAGGAAAGGACAACGCTAGACGGCTGACTGGTGCTCACGAAACAGCAAGGTATTAAAACTATTTTCACAACTACAATTAAATACATTTATTGAGTGCTATGTAACCTGGCAGTAACGTTGAAAAGGACTTTGAGGGGGTCTGTAGTCTCCCGCATAGTATGTTTGTGTTTCACTGATTTGTAAACTGAAGACGTAAATACACGTGTTGTTTAACTATTATCAATTAGTTAGCTAATTATAATTAATAACGTGCTTATTTTCTGATGTTATAAACGGGATTTATAGCTGAATAAAAAGCATGGAAGCTATCAAATATTAAGGATCGAGCACAATTAAGTGTTATAATATTATGTGATACTTTTTACATAATTTGTTTTAATTTTGGTGACGTTTTTGACTTATCAAACTCAAATATTCTGATTCTGTCACCATGATTCACATAATTTTTATATTTTGCATATTTTACATATTTCACTTACATTTACACACATTTCTTCAGTATTAACGAGTTCAGCTACGGTGTAGCCCACAGGGGAGCCAGTATCAGGATCCCAAGATCTGTTGAGAAGGACGGTTACGGTTACCTTGAGGTATGTCTCTCACTTTTAAGTTTGTTTGTTTGTTTGTACTTTGTGGGGCAGCCACTGAGGCCACTCTACAAGGAAATCTTAAAGGATTTCGCGAGTATTTTGGCCTGTCTAGTCATTGACTACTGATTAAACTATACATAAAATTTGTCGCAAATAATGGGAAAAATCGCGATTCCGTACATGCCGCGATTTCCTTTTGTTTCTGGTAAGGAGGCTATGTTCATTTACTGGGCTGACGTCTAATGGGGTCCCTTTCGTTGCAGATATCCGGTTATAACTGAGCTATATATTGTCATTCACTTCTATATATCCTACTTCCTTGTTGAAACTGTTTGTGTATTATAAAAACAGAATATATTGATTTGTATAATCTAGTGCAGGTTCACTGTGGTCAGTAGAAACATTTCATTTTCTTTATCACTGTTCTTTGGTTCCCTGATCTAATAAAAAATAATTAATTAATTAATTAATCAAATAATTAAATCCCCAGGATCGTCGTCCATCCAGTAACATGGATCCCTACGTGGTCTGCAACAGAATCATCAAGACCATTGCAATTGACGAAGATTAAAAACTAGTGTTGATTTACATTGGACTCGTAACTAGCATAACTTAAACATTGATTAGTTAATCAATTAATTAATTTGTTAATTAATTGATCATTTTTCACGGTTTAAGGATTCCAAACCTTGTGGTTGAGATAGATATTTATGATTGTCAATTGTTATTTTGTATTATTGTATAGTCATATGAAGTCTCAGCTTATGAGCCGGGTCTTAATTTTAAAATAAAGCATTATTTTGCCAAATCTAATATTTAGATTCCAATATAGTGTTTAAATAATATTTGTGAATACCTATACATTGTGATATATGAAATGGATTATGTAATATAATCTAACATACGCATTGTTTTCCTTTTTGTTTCAGAAATTGAAAAGCATTTAATAAAAAAGTTGAAAAATCATATCATAGCCTTTAAAAAAGTTTCGCTAAACTTTATGCAGATTGTTCGAGTTCATGATTGCACAAAAAACCGCGGATTATAAATTTCACTAATTCGATTGATGATAACGCGTTCTGCATATGCTTCAGTTATATTATTAGGGATTGGGTTGGGATCATAGTAGAGTGTTAGGGTTTTTGGATGGTCAATCAGGGCCATATAGAGAAAGTTTAAACAAATCACTAGATAGTCGAGTGTAAAGTGATTAATCATCATCCGACCGCAATACTGAGCATTGATACCAATGAAAATTCCCCAAACCCGTACTAAACGAAAAGTGCCGGAGGGATAGTATTACCGCCCGGGCGAAAATCAAAAAAATTATTGAAAATATGTTTTTTAAGACTTAGTTCACATATAATACTGTATGCCTGAAAATTATTTGCTCCATTGCGAGGAAGCACACAGCACACAGCAAAAAGGTCAACTTAACGAAAATTTGTATTTTCCAAATCCTGTCCCATTTTCAAATATGAACATTTCTGAATACAAATTTGACCAAAACCCATAATCATGGGTAGAGTGTACCGCTGCCAGTGTCTCTCTTTTCCAAACAAAAGGAAATGATATTAATTTGAGGAACCGTCCGCTAATGCAAATTGAAACCGAGAATGAAATCGGTCGCTCGCTTTTCCCATTCATTCACGGCTTACGAATTGTAATAAAGCTTATTAAATGGGATCGGAAAAGCGAGCGACCGATTTCATTCTCGGTTTCAATTTGCATTAGCGGACGGTTCCTCAAATTAATATCATTTCCTTTTGTTTGGAAAAGAGAGACACTGGCAGCGGTACACTCTACCCATGATTATGGGTTTTGGTCAAATATCATCTCTTTTTGATTATAATGTCAGGATAATTTACACAGTCGAAACTTCATTAATAAGGAGGTAATTTCAACGATTTCGAAATTCTGCCTTTGAAAACGTTTCCTTGTGTTTAGGTAGGTATATCTGTCGATAACCGACTGAATATGGCACTTTTTACTCATTCAAGTTGGCATTAAATTCATATATAATGCCATTTAAATATCGTGGAAAGCAGAATATATTCGAAATCACGAATGAGCAAAATTCTCACCTTTCGCACGTGCAATCTTTGAGCGGACGTTGCATGCGCATACAATATTGAATCACCGTAAATTTTTGCATAGTGGTATTTAATATATAGTTTGATAAGCATGAAAAGTTTCAGAAGATTTTAAAAAGAACTTGGATCACAAGGGGACTCCAAAGTTGATAAAAATCGTGAAAATCAAAATTTTTAGTGATTTTAGCTATTTTAAATCAATTTGGGCGTGTCCCCACGTGTGCAACTTTTCGATTTTTAACTTTAAAACTAGCCTATAACACAATTTACACCTTTAAGAAGCAAAATTGAGCTCCACAACCCAAGGGATGGCCCAACACCAGAGAATACTAATTCACAACTTTTGTGTTTTTATAAAATTATTCTTTAAAAAAGCACTAACTTCAATAGCAAATATTTTTATGAAGGAGCAAGGTAAGAAACTTTTCCGGTAGATTTTCAGAATGCTTAAACAATTATCTAAGGTGAAAATGTCCTCAGATTTTGGATATAATTACTCCTTAATGGTGTAAAATCGATTTGAAAATTTCTTACTTTGTCAAAAATCAAGTTTTAAAAACACTTAATTTGATGACGTCATCAAGTGATGATGATGACGTTAAATTATTTTTCAATAGAATGTAAACTGAAGTTTAAACGGTTATCTTTAAAACCTGTGGTTTGAGATGACTGTATCGTTTATACTTTTGGATCTACGGACACTTAAATGTAGGCTACAATTGACTGCCAAAGCGTCTATACATCATATATATTATACTAGAAACCCGCTAGTCGAAAGCTTTGTTCGAGGAAATTTTAAAAATCAGTTATGTTTTAATTTCTCTTCATCATATAGCTCTGTTATACTGTAGACATAATGGAATTTATCTAACAATGGCGACAGCGTTGTTAGTATTCGGATTCCCAAAACGATACTTTTTACCGCATCAAAAAATACCAATCACAACCAAAGTTATGAATATAAGTCATAGCGTGAGCGTAAATGTGAGCTAGTTTTGAAATTATGACGTAGCATACAGCATAACAACGCGCGTAGTTAAGATGTTCTTGCTCGCGCACGTGCTACGCAACAGCGCAGTAAACCTTTGCTAAAATAACGACATTATTCTAACGGTTATTTTACCTCACTTCCGACGTTAATTATAAAAAATCTAAAGCCTAAATCAAAATTCTAAGAATGCTATAGCCTATTCCTATCCTTTTTCTACAACCCTGCTAAAAATGGCGAGGTTTCAACTCCATTTGCGAGCTGGGTTTGATTTCACCAGAGGGTCATTTTGAGGTCGATTTTCGGTGTTTTTTCTTCTATGTCCCCGTTGCCGGGGAAATTTCGTCAAGTTTAAATTATAGTATAGATATATATGCTTCACGACAATCTGTTGTAAAACAGGGGTTCCAGAAAACCCACTTGCCGATACTGCTGAAACATGAAATTTTGTTTACAGTCGATTTGGGCAAGGTCTAGACGCCCTGCAAAGTTTCAGATCTCTAACTCAATTTTAACACGGTTTTTAAGGCACCTGAATATGGCGATTTTGGGTTTTTTACCTAATTTCGTATAACATGCTGGCGCGTATTTTGCGCAAATTTCTTAAAAACCTCCATATAACTATTTCTTATTCCTGTCATCTTTAACATTGAATTAGAATGTTTTGAACTTAAATATACCTGCTGAACTACTTTCGATGAGTCTTAATGCCTGGAAAACAATAAAGGGGATATAATAGTATAGGGGGTAAATAGTATTGTGAATATAAGGGCGACGGTAATGCTTGCCAGCATTGTGATTTGACAGATTGGATGAACTTTTTGCCCAGAAACTAATTAGTTAGTTAATTTATGCTAGTTAAGTATGAAACCAAATTGAGGTACTGGAAGTCAAAATGGCGAAGAAAATTGCAAAATCATGTTTTCCCATTTCCTGTCCCATTTTCAGTAGAATCATAAAGATAAAACTAAAAGATAATTCATAAAATTAGCTTTGTTCGTAACTCCGTGAGCAGCATTTTCAATCAGTATAATATGTAATATTTACAAAAACAACGTAAACAATCAAACTTTACTTGAACATCAAATATTGATCGCAAATGTTTTTAGAAAAGTTTGGCTCATCTCCAACATTTCATGCTTCGCTGTTAGATCAGCTCAAAATTTAAACTAATTTTTTAAATTATCAATAAATCTAAAATTGTTCAATGTATTATTTATATTCATTCTCTTCTGCCATGTCATTTGAATCAAGGGACAAGATGAAGCTATTACTTCTTGGAGATATCACCTCAGGAGTCCCCAGTAAGGGTGCTTGAACTACACTTCTTCTACGAACTCTGCTTCCCTGTGATTGGTTTTAGAGTTACGTTAAGTTTTAATTTAACAATTATTTAAAAAATTTGTGTGCGATTTTGTGCGATTAATGTTTCTATGGTACCATCATCTTAAAAATGAATCAACTTATAAATCAACTCATTATGTGAAACTGACTATGTACTGCATAATTACCAAATGTGCGGATTTATTCTCTGTAATAGTTACTTGCTGGTCAAGGGGCTCGCTCGAAAAGAAGGACTTAGACCCGAGCTTAACACAGAACTTCTTCTCCTACTAAAATAACAGTGTTAAGATTATACACTTTTAATCATATTTTAATACAGAAAATAAGATATGATAATACTCATTAATGTACATATTTCTATTGGCATTGCTCATTTCTCTTTCTGGGAGAGGAAAGTAAAACGGATGAAAATCGATGATCTGCAAAGTATTGGGTTTATTACAGAAGAGAATGGGTAATTTTTATGTAATAATAATATGTAATGAAAAAAATACTCAAAATAACGCGTTCACCCCCTCGAGTACAACAAAACAAAACTAAAAAAGAGAAACAAACAACATAGTTTTAAACTAATTACAACACTACAAATCTATTACATTTATTGAGAATTATGTAGTGTAACACGATGGAAGTATTTTAAGCGGGCATATCCTGTCCAAACCCAGGATGCACGACATAAAGAATTTGTTTTAACTTGTTTGTATAAAAAGCATCAATAGTACCTCATTGCCGGTCTGCCAGTGGAGATATGCGTCGTCCAGGTTGTTTAACAGCTAATAAAACTTTCTTTTGCTCTGAGCAGTTCAGCGTGCTTCTCTTCCGTTATTTCACCTCGTTCTTTAAGGAAATTAATCCATTTCATGAGAGTTTCAACCTGAAATGAGTGTCATAACTCATACTTTTTTAAAAAGGTTTCAGAAATGTATAGATGTGGAAATTGTGGATATGATTGACTGAAATTGTGACCAGTGACCAGTGGCGAAACTTTGCTTGTTGGCGCCCCCCCGCTCAGTGACAAAAAGCCCCCCCAAAAAATTTTTTTTTCCCTAAAAAAAAAAAAAAAAAAAGGGTCGGGTATTTTTTTTCTCGCCCCCCTACACTTTTTCCCCGGGCCCCCTTTTTAAGGGAAAAAAGGGAAACCCAAAAAATTAATTTTTTTTCCCCCGGACCCCCCCGAACGAAAAAATTGGGAAGGGGAAATCAAAAACTGGGTTTTTTTTTTTTTCAGGGGAAGGGGCCAAATTCAGGAAAATTGGCCCCCCTTTTCCCCCCGGCGCCCCCCCCCGCCCCGGGGGGCCCTGGGGGGGGCCCAAGGGGAAGCCCTCCCATGCCAAAATTGAGGTTGACACAAAGTCGTCATCAAGGTACGGGGAGCATGAAATTCAGGTTTTATAGATCAAAACACCACCGGGGCCATTTTTGGGCCTGGGGTTTGAAATTTCGACTCAAGTGGTCGGAAAAAGAAATTAAACCTGGGCATGTGGTTTTTCCTGGGGAAATGTAATAAGCTAAAGGGGGTCGTGAACAGTACCCAAACCCGGGGCCTGTGGAGTCCTGGGTACGAAAAACTGCTCAAGTGGCCTTTGGAACGTTTAACCGGGCATGGGGTAGTCCTTTTACGGGAAATATAAACTCAAGGGGTCGGGGGGGGAACAGTATCAAACCTGGAATGTTTTAGTCCTTGGGGGAAACTGAAATTTCTGACTCAAGTGGTCTTAAACGGTACCCAAACCTGGGCTTTGTGGAAAGTCCTGGGGTACGAAATTTTGAAAAAAGGGGTTTCTTAAAAACTATCAAACCTGGGAGGGGTAGTCCGGGGTTCTGAAATACTAAATCAAGGGGTGGGTTAACTTACAAACCCGGGGAATGTTTTTGTCCTGTGGTAAGTAATCGGACTAAAGGGGGGGTCTGGAACATTTTTCATATTTTTTACCTTCTGCTGAAAAAACCGGGCCCGACGGAAACTTTTGTACGGAGCCAAACCCCCGGGTCCACGCACTTTTTCCCTAAGGGTTAATGATGTGCAGTTAATAATTGACAATATCTATGTGTTTCTATTCTTCTGTTTTACTATTAATCATGGCAAATAATATCGGTAAAATTTTGTTCTGTATTGGAAAATTATCCCCTATGATTTATATATCATGTATAATTTTGTAGTACCGCGTGTTATTGCCACCTCGCTATAATACCCTGCGATATCTGACAACGCGGACCCTTAGCTATAACGCTGATCTCGCTATAACGCTGACCTCGCCTATAAGTATAACGGTATAGTATAAAGAACCCATCAAAGTCTCCAAACCACACGTTTTACCTCAAGGGAAGGCTGCAATATGGTGTTCTGCACTGAACAAGTCCAGTTCTCTTTTGTCGTGTTTAAGAAAGATTGGAATTATTCCAGCGCTCTGTATAATCAGCTTCAACCCATCCGAACGTCTTCCTGCAGAGCATATTCTAAATTTTAGTGAAATGTAAGTGAAACTTTTGTGAAGTGAAACTTTTGTAAGTGAAACTTTGTTTTATTTTATTTTTACCTAAATTGACACTAACTTTTGTGGAATGGAGATTATTTGGGACTTACGAATTCAGCAAGCACATAGAAAGCTCATATAAATTGCCGATGCTTGAAGTGAAGATTTTAAACAAATTACCCATATGAACGAGGCTGGTAGCCTTCCAGCAACACAAACTTCACACAGTAAGTTCTTGTTAGGTTCTGCGCTCCACTGAAATGCATACCTGCCTCCTGGACCTCGGACAGTGCCATGTAACACTTTCCTGTTGTGTGGTAAATAGCTGTTATTGGTCTGAAAAATGCAGTTCAGTGCTGTTTTCTGTTGACGCTTGTGTTATTTGTAAGGCTTGGAGAAACACCACACCTACTTGATAAGTGTTTCATAGTTAAATTGCAGTTAAGAACTTATAAGGTTAAATAATAAAATATATAAGTAAGGAAAACAACCTAGTTGATAATGGTTGTGGGTGTTGTGAGTTAGCTCCACTGATCGCAAGAGAGCATTTTTTGCCTCATCCATCTCCCCTATCCTCATTCTGAAGATAAAGCGGTATAGGCGCAGGGATGATATGATCAAATTTGGTCGATTGAAAGATTGAAAGAGAAATCATGAAAACTGCTCATTTTCCTAAATCAAGATTTCAGTCACGTGATCATTTTTTTCAAGCAAATTACTCACCGTATTTTTCCGTGTAAATAGAAAGCGTGAGAATGGCAACATTCTGACCAGTTTACTTTGCTGGCGATGAAAATGGAGTATGGATGAGGATTTTTGTTCGTCTTTTGGGATATCTTCCACTTTTGGTTGAGTGATTTGACCTACATTTTAATGGGATTATGGTTGTGTTTCAAAATCTCAGTTTCAGCAATATATAAAGTTATAAATAGACAAACACCCTATCAATTACATTTCGGAATGAACCATGTGTTACCTTGATGTCAACATATTCATATGATCGTTAATTAGGATAAGGATTGAAATAAAAAAGAACAAAATATATGACTGACCAACAAATCAATATTTGGAAGAAACTTCGGGCTCCTTCTATTGATATCGTGAAATATTTTGATCGCTTTCTCTATAGAAGAATCATACATCATCTTTCCTGAATCGGGGTGTTATTAAAAGCATATCAAAATCGTTTTACAACAATTTATCAGCAATAAAGATCAAGTATAGTGAGCTAGATTACATGTTTAATGCAAGTACAAATCAAGAAACAAAATATATCATAAAAAACATCACGACTTTAAGGGGGGGGGGGGGGGGGGGGGGGGGTGGGGTTCACCCTGATTTTTTTGTGAAACTTGGTTTCGAGATAGTAGTTGACCAACAAACTAGGACCAGTGACCGAACTTTTGAGGGGTCCCGGACCCCAACCGCCAAACGGTGCCCGCGGGGCAGCCACGCCCATATTTGGTCCAAATTAGGCCCAATTTAGCCAAATGCCCTGAACATGCCAAAAATCCAGATTTTAGGTACTCTACTTGTAGCTAGTGGATCCTTGAACTCGTATATGAATTTTCATCAAGATTGGACCAAAAATGACTGAGTTATGAGCAAAAAACCATATGACCATATTTGGGCATACGCACCAAATTTGATCGATTTTGGCCCATAAATTGGTCAAATATCAATATTTTTTTAAAGGCCTAACTCAAAATTTAGCAGTGCAAATTTTGGAATTTGGCCGCCAAATTTTTTTAAAGGCCTAACTCAAAATTCTGTCCCAAAACTTAAGGTCATGAGACAATTCTACGTTGATTCTGAAAATTTCATGAAAAAATATTGAAACCCTATTGAGTTCTATTGTTTTGAGCGAAGTCAGTTTTGCAAATATCGCAAACTGAGATATGGGCAATTTTGTTCATTTTTTGCGATTATTTGAACACAGAATCCACAGTTAGGTAGATACTGAGCTGATACTCATAAATAATGTGTAGTATAGGCTTACCTTCCATATAAAGTTGGTTTCATTCAAAAATATTGATATTTGACCAATTTATGGCCAAAATCGATCAAATTTGGTGCGTATGCCCAAATATGGTCATATGGTTTTTGCTCATAACTCAGTCATTTTTGGTCCAATCTTGATAAAAATTCATATACGAGTTCAAGGATCCACTAGCTACAAGTAGAGTACCTAAAATCTGGATTTTTGGCATGTTCAGGGCATTTGGCTAAATTGGGCCTAATTTGGACCAAATATGGGCGTGGCTGCCCCGCGGGCACCGTTTGGCGGTTGGGGTCCGGGACCCCCTCAAAAGTTCGGTCACTGGTCCTAGTTTGTTGGTCAACTACTATCTCGAAACCAAGTTTCACAAAAAAATCAGGGTGAACCCCCCCCCCCCCCCCCCCCCCCCCCCCCCCCCCCCCCCCCCCCCCCCCCCCCCCCCCCCCCCCCCCCCCCCCCCCCCCCCCCCCCACCCCCCCCCCCCCCCCCCCCCCCCCCCCCCTTAATTAGAATTCACCTAATGAGTGTTCCAGAAGAACCCGTCCGAACAAAAACATGATAAAATCGTTAACATTAGCACTCCTAGAAACGTAATCATCCAGTAGAACACGTGCAGCTACGTTTAGATTGAACAGTTGGAACAGTATCGCCAGATCTAGTTTTACTTCTGGTGACCTGATAATATGATGAGGGAGTTGAAATTCTGTGATTTAATATTTCTCAAGATTTTAACTACTTTGCTAACCAATCTATTAATCGTCGTCGTTATTTTACTGAATGAATCCGTATGTTTATTACAGCTTACCATAATAGTTCACATCTAAGAAAATGAAATAATATAATTATAGACACTTTATATAGCACTAATAATATTTTGTTTTTACTGTAATTAATAAATTACCCCTGCTTAATTAATTAATAAATCACCCCTGCTTAATTAATTAATTAATCACCCCTGCTTAATTGATTAATTAATTATCCCTAATTAATTAATTAATTAATTAATTACCCCTGCTTAATTAATTAATTAATTACCCCTGCTTAAGTTCGTTAAGCCTCTTGAAGTAAATAGCTGTTTTCTCCCTATTCCCAGTTTCACATAGCAAGATGACGTAGTTTGACAGGGTTACCTCTGAACTGGGTTTAACTCTGATAGCTTCCTGGGATAATAGCTTCACGTGACGTACATTATTACAGTTTATAATTAGTTCATAATTAGTTCATAATTAGTTCATAATTAGTCGATTATTGGTTCATAATTACTCGATTTCATTCAATATAAATGAACCCGAGAGTATAAAAACGCGATTATCATTAAGAACAAATAGCAAATACAAACTTCCCATAGAACTAACCAGGAAATACTCCTCCGCTTTCCCCTGATGTCCATTAATAGCAAGGTATGTAGCAATGAAGTTGTAGAAGTAGTGGCGGTGGGCACTTGGGTAACTTGCTAACTCCCATTTAACTTTTTCGAATACCTTTTTAAATGTAAGTGTTATGAATCATAATAATCATAATTTTTAATCATGAATAGTTCAAAATGTGATATAGTGGTTCACGTTAAAAATCATCGTAACTTTATAAATAATGCGCTTTATAGTCTATAATTAAGACACCGTGATTGTTATAAAAAGGAGATGATGAAGCAAGTATTCATGAACATAGGCAAGGCATGACACAAAGAAGAACGGTCGGTGGGGATTGGGACCCACTTAAATCACCTTAACACAGTGCCCCTCAGTACCTAATCCAGCCTGTCACTCAAATTATTTGTTATAATATAGTAGTTTGAAAGTATTAAAACTGAAAGTAACTAATATTTCAGAACCCAATATTTGACTATAAACTGATCTGTAAAAAGTAACCAATTTAAAGTAACCGATTTAAAGTATACCTCGTCAACAATTGATTTATCTTGTTGGTAAAGTAGCTGGAAGTAGTTCGGTCGAGAAAAATACAGAATGTTCTTTAACGCGCAAAGTTCATTTCCTTCCAATATCTGAAAAACAGAAAAAGTAAATAATAACGGAACAATTATATTTCTTTAATGGATGATAGTTGGGGGGTGAGCCATATTTCCTTTAAATATTCTTGTTTTGATTCTTGTTTTGATTCTTGTTTTGATTGGTCAATGCTTGACGATGATTAGACAATCGCTTAGTTTACATTCCCCCTAGCATTCAAATGTTTTTAACTGTAAGCTTCGGCTTATTTTGTTAGTGACAACAAACGCGGATTTAGAAAAAAATAATCTACCAAAAACTTTTCTGTAATTATAAGTACTAGCCATGACGTCACATGGCTAGTAGTATGACGTCACTGATACGTGACATCACGTCATAGGTCAAGAAGTATGACGTCACTACCTACTAACCTCTTCTATTTCTTCCTCTGACAATCGATACATAGACTTTAAACAGTAACACTTATCACTCAAAAAAGTAAAAATAGAAATAAATGTCACGCCTATATACAACTTGTTCGATTTTATAGCACGATAATATATAACTATAAGACAACGTGAATTATGGAACAACGATTTTGAAAATACAACAGCTGAATTGACTTTATGATGGGTCCAGGATAATTACATAGCATACGTGCCATGCACCCTGGACAATACTCAAGATCAAGTTATAGGCAATATGGCCATAGCAACAAATTATACACACAGAGAGCAAACCGTAGTGACGAAAATAATTTGATCTAACTCGAGGGGGTCTAAGAGGAGGCACCCTTAATAACGTGAACTTAATTCAGTTTAATGGACAATGTTTAATTATTGGTGTCTGATGCAAAGTACTTAGATTAAATTAAAGCCTTTTGAGTACTAAAAGAGCAAAGTGGAATTCGTATAATTCGTGTTGCAATTAAATCGAATTACTGAATTAATGTTTTTAAGGCGAGGATGAAAGTCTGCGAATTAATAATTTCAATCGAGACTTCAGGGGAATCCGTAGTCCGTAAAGGTATCGCAGAGTTTTGAAAATTATGTTTGTACAAATAATATAGTAACATGTTTCATCTGCACAAAAATTCAAAAAAGCTGAACGATATTTAATACACTTATTAACCATTAACCATTAGTTGACCTCAGAAAAGACTCTCCGAATCATAAAACCTGCTATAAATATGAAATGCATCGTAATAATCATGTGTGCATTTGGGTACGTGACTTTCTGTCTCGTGACATGACGTATTATAAGTAATATAAGTGGTATGACGTCACGAGTCACTTCTCCCCAAAGAAATTAATTTCATCTCTACTTTGGACCTGTTAAAATCGTCACTGGCTAAATTCCTTAAAGAATTCCCCGACACACCTCCGACTAAAGGATACACCGCTACTAACAACAACTCACTCTTGGAATGGTACTTACAAAAAGACCCCAGTGGAGGGATAGGAGGACGTACTTGATACTGTTGTCCTGAAGCGATCCCAGCCAAACCTACTCAAAGTACTCAAAGTAAGTACTGGGTACGTGGGTACGTGACTTTCTGTCTCGTGACATGACGTAAGTGGTTTGACGTCTCACTGGGTACGTGAGTTATTCTCTTGGTTCAAACCTCGCATCATAGATCACATACGAGCTCAGTTCACAAGGCTATCAAATTATTGGCTACCGGGTTCTCTATTATGTGAACTTTTAGAGCATGTGTAATACTAATAGCAGGGTTGGTAGGCATGCTCTTATTCCTCATGGTACTACTTAATCTTATTAAAACATGTCAATCTGACCTCCAGCTCGCCATTTTTGAGATTCAAGCAAATCGAGGATGTTCAAAAGGTGCAGGATGTTTAGCTCGTCAAAATACCGGTAGAAATATTTTCGTAGGCCCTAAAATGACTCTTCCAGATCCAGTATTATCCTTAAATTGGACATAACTCACTTATAATCTTATAGCTGAACTAGCTCTTATACTTCATCAGATGGCCAAACTGATGGCCAAATGGACCAAATTATTATATTCAATGTGACTGCATAATGCTGGGGTATCTACAATTCAGAAAGTGCAATGATTATAACTGGTCAAACTATAAAGTACGAAGATATGAATACATACAAAGCACATATTGTATCAAAAGATGTAAAACTGAAGAAAACGGATACTATGCATGATTTAGAGTTACTATACTGTTACTATACTGTTGAAATATGGAATGCAGGTGTGCTTTGAACTGAAAGAAAATTACCACTTTACCTATTGTACGCCTACAAAATTAACAGAAAGTCTGATCTTCGCAGTCGGTTGAGTCCCAACCGTTTACAAGCATGCGTTTCCATGGTAACATGAGTGATTAGCAATGTTGCAATATCACAAAGTGATACAATCAAATCACACGGAATTTCAAAAATTACATAACTCCCGTGTGATACATTATTGTGATAAGTTCTCCTTGACTTATAAGCCCAGGACTATATATCGGAGAGAAAGGGGGTTATAAAAATTACAGTTTTCGCCATTAATAAAGTTTTGTTTCTTCAGTAATTATCAAATTAACGAATGACATGTGCTCCAGACTGCAGCTATATTTCCAGACAGCGTTCAATTAGTATATCAAATGTTAAAAGAAATTTACCATAAATATCAAATGTTAAAATTAAAACCTTCGTACCTGATTTGTTCCCACTTTTGGCTGCCTAAGGGTGGTTTTAGAGGGTTTCCTCGTCCTGTGTTTAACCACCATCCTGTGTATACCGTCTAAAGTTTTAAAGTATGACTACTTGACTAGTATAGCAAAGTGAAGAAAATGTTCCTATACAAGTTACAGGCATTACACCGATATGAAATGAGAAAGTCTTTGAAATCGATTAGGTTTTACTGTGCATCAATACATAATTTTTGCAAGCAAAATCGTGAGAAAGAAAGAAGACAGAGTCTGCGGAGATTTGAAATATAAGGTCTTTGGATTTTATATTTTACATGGTCCAGTTCTTGTAACATATTTTACTGAAATCATACTTAATTAATTAATTAATTATTTGCGTCCTGAGAAATATACCAATACTTGATTAGTGTAAACACAATGTACGACAATGTGACTTGATCCAATAAGTGAAAATAACTAAAATCGCGAACATTAACATTCAAAATAAATGAAAATTTAAGTTGGCCCGAAAGTATTCCTGTTATTCAACAAATGATTATCATAACAAAAGTTACATTTTGGATCGCAAATTTGTTTATATTAAAGTCACTATTGTGACGGTACGTTAGAACTAGACAGAAACAAAGTGTGAAGGGCCTGAACGGAACCCCTCGGTTTCAGTTCCTTGTTTAACACTGCCGTACAGCAAAGACATCCACCGGGTTCTCCAAGGTTGGGCACATAGCTCACTCCACACTATGCTCTGTCAAATGTTGCTTATATACCAAAGATCTACAGGAAATATTTCTTTGTAAGTTTATATGTCATACTCATATGAGATCGAAAAATTTTCAGCAACGGAACCATTCGCATTTCAGAATCAAAAACCATTTCAAGCTTGAATATTAGCGCTAGAAAACACTGCTGATCCCCACCAAAAATGTGCAGCAGTTTATTTCCCTAATTTATTTTCGTTGTTTTCATGTTTCAAGTTGACGGGATGCAATAAAGTTTGTTTATGAACTTAGCAATATAGAGGAAACGAAAATATTTGTCTAATTGAATGGAATAAAAAATCCTTCATTCTGAACTGTAAACATGAACTCAGAATTAAAAATTGTAATCATAAAATGTTCGTCTTTTCAAGGGATGCAGACTCGCCACTAAACTGCATCAATCTTCTTTTAAGTTTGAGCTCTCCTCGGCCCGTCGGCCGTTAGGTGATTAAGATTTCGTGTGATACTGATGATCTTAAATATAAACTATGGGACCTTTACTCGCCTACTGCTGCATATCATGGAGACCCCGTAACAATGGTTGCGACATTTCGCTTTTTCCAAGTTAAAAACCGGATCCTGACAAAACAATTCCAACACACGAATGACCCCTGAAATACTTCCCCTCAATAACCACACACTCACTCGCCACCATATTATATATATCCTCCTGAGCCTCCTCACTCAGATGCTTGTACTCCGCCTGCAAGAAGAACGATATCACGTGGTCCCTGTTTGAATCGCTGGTTTTTCTCACGAAACTATCAACGTCCACGTACGTCTTTTCTTGAACAACTTTCATCGGTATATTTGGGTAGTTTTCTTGGAGGCGAGATATTATTGTTTCCGCAGTTAAAGAATGGTCAACGAATGTTTTCCTTGCAGAGAAGATGTTAGGATCACTTTTACTTGTTAAGTAAGTAAAAAGATTTGCACTTCCAGGAGCTCCCTGATGGAGGACAAGTATTTTCCCGGTACGTTTCAGGAAATTTGTGGCATGAGCAACCGCTCCATCAGGGTCATCAAACCCATATAAACTATGCGAAAACAAAATCAAATCAAAACTCCGCTTTGCTGCTTTAGATTCCTCGCTGAACTCAAAATCTTTACTGAAAAATGATCTGTTGATATCGTACTCCACATCAAGACTTCTCAAAGCAGTCTCCAAAACCACTCCATGATCATGGTTCGGTTCGATAGCACAAATATAATTCAACTTCAACCCCAGTTCCCCAACAAGATCCACTTCAAACCCTCCTGTCCCTGCTCCTACAGTCAGCATGTGTATTGGTCTTATGTTGAACTTGTTATCCGTAATCACCGACTTGGCTATGTTCTTCATTGCTGTGTATTCTGTTGTTTTTTCTATAACTGTAGCAAATGTTCTGGCGTATTGTTCTTGAGAGAGCGGCGATGCTGTTTCGTGTGGTCTGGTCATTTTAACGTGCGATTTAGAGCTGTTACGGGTCACGTGTGAGTGATAGCTGCACCGCGCCTATTAAATGTTATAAGATTTTATAATATGTAATTGTAATACGATTAAAGGAATTGAATTATATCAAGCAGCTTATCAAAAATCATAAACTGACTTCTTAGATTTTAATAAACAAATTCACTTAATTACTATCACAGTGCTGGCAAGCACGACCGTTGCATTTATTGTGGGTATACTATGTTCCCCATTTACTATTATACCCCCTTTACTATTATACCCCCTTTGGTACACGTTACAAGCCTCTTTCGTGCACGCGAAGCGTGCACTCCGGCCGGAGGCGGCGGCCGAAGGCCGCCGCCTCCGGCAGGAGTTTTTCAGGCATTAAGACTCATCGGAAGTCGTTTAGCAGATTTATTTTTAGTTCAAAACATTCTAATTTGATGTCAAAGATTTTTTGTTTGGGGACTGGTTTGTAAGCCAGCCAATGTTTACGAATATAATGGGGACTGGTTTGGGGACTGGTTTGTAAGCCAGCCAATGTTTACGAATATAATATTAATAACTTTATTACATAATCATAAATATATATCATAAATAGATCAAATCTGAAACACAAATTTGCACGCAGTTAATAAACTTATAAAAAAAAGAAAATGGAAAAAAAAAAAAGGTTTATTGATAAAACAAAATATGTAGCACTCGGTGCTTCCAACAGCCTTTCAGACTCGCGCTAAGTTTGTTAGGGACTGATTTAGGATATCGTAGATATTGCTATACTATGCCATGCCATTAGTTTGGATATGTAGTGTTTGTGATT